TATGGTCCTTTTCAAGCTGTTCCTTTACTCGCTGCGCGAAAGCAGGATCGCCTTTAGCAGGGTACTTGACTTCGTAGGCCTCCTCGGAGAAGCCATAGTAGTCGTAGATCATTTCTGGGTTGGCAGCATTGGAGATCTCGAATCCGCTGCTACTGGACTCAAAGTGCGCTGACACAAGGAGGATCCGTTTGGGCAGGTTCTCGTCCTTTGGGTAAAGTTTACCGAAGAGTGATCTTAATACTTCAGGAGCAGTCACAGTGTCTCGCACCATTTCGTCGAATCCCGATGAGATCAGCCACAGAGGACCAGGGCCGTGCGAGATTGCGGCAACGGGATGGCGGAAGGCAGGCATTGTTGGCTGATGTGTGCTGGACTTGTTGGTCTGAAAACGAATTGCTGAATGAGAACGCGCTGAGGAGACATCGTCAAGGGTTTCTCCTGTTACACTCCCACAAAGCTAGCGAATAACTGGGCTGTGTTGAACTGTTCACGTAATAATACTTGGACCGATTCGCAATCGTTGACAAATTCACGGAGTTCGTTTCTGGCTGTAATCAAAATGTGGAATTAGTTTTAACCGCAGTATATTTAGTCAATATACTGCCTTTTATTGTTGATTTTACCATTCCATTGATAATTATCGCAAGTGCAGCACAGTGAATGCTTGGCTTTTGGATCAGCCTCCTTTGTTCGCCCGAACATAGCAAAAGTATAGATAATGTGAAGAGAGTAGACGACAACTTCATTTTTTTTTGTTTTTAAGTAAATGCAACATAGAATGACAATTCAGCAACCCACGCCAACACTCACACAGGGCGAGGCAAGACACGATCGACTTCATCGGGGAAAAACACACGCGTCCAACATCTTCTGGCGACCCAGGACTTTGGCGCACACGATGTCGACATCAGCTCGAACTTTCTTCGCTCCAAACTCGCACTCAAAAAGCTCTTGACGGTGACTTCGCTCCTCATCTTCCACGACTCTTGTGAAGGCCGCGCTTTTGCCTTAGTTGCTGTGTGCAAATTGTCCGATTCATCTTCGTCGATTAATGTGTTGCGAAACACAGGAGAAACTCGATCGTAGGCTGGACACAGCCCACTGACGCTTGCTCGAACGGCATCATCAACTTCCCCTTGCTGGTAAAGGACGAAGCGCTCCGATTCTTTCAGCCAAGCGTTGACGTCTTCCCGTTTTTGCTGCATCCAGCGGATTTTAGTAGCAATGGCGTGCACACTCTGGTACCCCTGCTGCCTTAAACACCGAACAAATTTCTTCGCATATTGCAGACTTGTTGTCACTCTGCCACCGATCGAAGTTGCCTGGGGTCTCCAGCCACCGCACAAGTAATTCCGATGACGATGAATCCCCATCCGAGTCCCAGCGGTCATTCGAGTACTGGATAGAGTTCTTGTTCAACTTCTTCACAGCTCTCTTGCTTTTCCTTGCCGGCATGCTTTCCGTTTATGGTCTTGCTTCTCGTCGCTTTTTCGTGCTATGAGACTACACACCAGTGCTATTTATTTAAATAAATAATATTACTATTTTCTTACCACATTTATTATTATTGCTATCTGGCAATCGGGCATATTATTGATATTCACCAACATTTACTGTTTCGTTAGTAAAATCAAGTTAAAGCTCGAGTAGTATACTTTATTCAAGTCAGAGGCACGACAAACTTGCAAATTATATCGAATAGTGGGGCGAAGTCTTTTATTTTTCTCTCACGTTGTCCAGTGATCTCGTGAAACCACCTCCAACTGCCTAGCCACTGACATTTTCACTTACCAATTTGACTTCGAGCACAAAATACCCCTTCACCAATGCCCAAGAATGCTGGCATCTGCCGTGCGCTCTTTGCCGCCCTGTCTGACCACTACTTCATGTGCAACTACTGCAACAAACTACGCCACCAGCTCCCTTCAAGTGGCTACGGCAACCTAATTGGGCATTTAAGAGGCAAGCGCCCCAACTACGAAGCTAACTACATTGCTCACGCCAGCTCCTTGGCCGGCAACCTTCACACGTTTGGCTTCGTGAGCGACAAGGTCGCAAATATCTACCACTGGATGGAGTGGGTGGTCGACCGAAACATGCCTTTATCTGAGGTGGACCATCCAACCACTCACTCTTTGTCCCGTCTCAAGCCCATCTGCTCGAAAACGCTCACGCGATACATGGTAGAAACTACCCGGGAGGTCAAGAAGGAGATTACTAAAGCAATCCCACCCATCTTTGGTGTCATGACGACAGGTGGACATGCTTTTCGGAGCACTATGTAGCGCTGTACATCGTCTTTTGGAAATATGGTCAGCTATTCTACGTCCTGTTAGCGGTGATACCCCTTGATGAGGCCGATCTTACTGCTGTATCACACTGTGCCTACATTTGGAATATTTTGACAAGTTTCGGTCAATCGTAGGAGTCGTTAAAATTTCTGGTTGGAGACAATTGTGCCACCAATCAGCTGACGGCAACCCTTCTCGGCGTCCCATTGGTCGATTGCGTGTCTCATCGTTTTAACCTGGCAACCAAAGGTTTTTTTGGCGGGGCACGAGGACCTAGTCGGAGCGATGAGCGCGCTGATGCTGGCGCTACGGACTACGAAGAAGTGCGCTGAGCTCCGACACCATACCAGCCTCGTGTCTTTGTGTGCCAACGCTGCGCGATAGAGCTCCACCTTCATGATGCTAGAGCGCTACGTGCGCATACGGGACGCGATCAAGCGCGTCGACGCGGTGTATGAACTCATGCCCAAGCCAGCTGCGCATCGACGCATCGTTGCTCTCGTCGACAGCCTCAAGACATTTAACAGTGTGTGCAAGAAGCTGCAGGAGGAGGCAACATCGATGAAGTCCGTGCGGCTTCTATTCGACAAGATTACTGAGATGTTTCCCGTTACGGGTAATGTGGTGGAGTGGGGGTCGCAAAATCACGTTGCGATCTACTCCGACACACAGTGCCCTGGACTGCCGACTATCGGAAGGGGTACTCCGATA